GGGGGGGGTGTTGACACCATGAATTTACCGTACCGGGTGACACCATGCATTTACCGCACTGGGTGACACCATGCATTTACCGCACCGGGTGACACCATGCATGAAACGCACCGGTCGACACCAACCCTAGCTACACCACTGGTTGTCAGGAAGTGGTAGACTCATTCAAAAAAATTGAAAACCCAATAATTATCATACCCCTTTTGTATATGTCTGATTATAACTTCTAATGCATTCGGTCAGTGCACCCTTGTACTATCTGTCTGTCCAATTTTAACGTCTAAGGGAAACTATTTTCCTCTTATTGTTCTTGGACTATTTTTACGAGGTTGTCTTTTCTTCCACCTTAATGAAACGCCCTTGAGGGTCGATATCCAACAAATTTAGAGTTATGACGGGGAATTAGAGGTTAGGACACATACCGGTACTGAACTATTTGTTTAAAGGAATGTATGAAATTAATCGATGTAAGCATGTTTGACCGACATCATCATCATTATCATCAACAACATCATCATCATCATCATCATTATCATTATTGAACCACTCGCAGATACAATAATCGTTAGAAGGAGTCTTCGTACTCATTTACACTATTAAGGAAGGGGAGAGCAATGCCTAACAATTCGAAAATTCGTGTGTTTGGGTTACGCAACTTAGTAAACTGAACACAATCAAAATAACTGGTAGTGATATGTACTCGTTTGTTTAGGATATTTTTTTAAAAAATATAGCCAATATTGAACTTACCAAGTTGGAATATCTTATTTCTTGTATCTTATTATCTGTGTTTTCGTATAGATAAATCATCAAATTGGGTGGGTGGTTCTATCCAAGGCCAAACAATTTATAACAAATTATGGGATACTAAATACATTATAAATGTATCGCTATGTTTGTCTGTTTGATGGAGACGACTCTGTCGGAGGTTAGCCGTGCGCTTGTTTTGATCTAAATATTTGATAATGTCAGTCTTTCAACCCAAAGTTGTTAAGCCTTAGGAGCAAGGGAAGGATGCTGCCCCATCAGTGGCGTAGCGAGGGTGTTTGGCGCCCGGGGACAAGATTCATTTTTAGCGCCCCTTTTTCTTTTTTTCAACTCTCAAACCCATTATTTTCATCAATAAAATAATATCAAAGCACATTTTGGCGCCCCTAACTAGCTGGCGCCTGGGGACATCTGTCCCCCCTGCCCCCACCACGCTACGCATCTGTGCCCCATTGCCTTGTAACATCTCAGTTTTGTCTGAACGCATTACCAAAAAAAAAAAAATAGAACAGTTTGGTTTATAAGTTATCTCTTCAGATTAAATACGTCATGGCTTATCTCTCACATGTATCACGCTTCTGGTGTGACTGCTTCCATTTCCGGGTGCCTCCTTACAAGCCGGCTGCTTCCTATTCAGCGTATTTGGTACTGAGACTATTCTCATGGCTTTGGCTATATGCTTTGCATTTTTGCGACTATATTTGGATATGGGGAAATGGCGTTGCTAATCTTGTGATGATTTAAGCAGGAGCAGCAGCGATGGCGTATTAATATTAAATTGATGTTGCTAAAAATACTCGGTCAAGACCCTCCGTCCTTTCATTAAAAGACCCCAAGACGTTCTTATCGAAAAATGCCTGTGGTGCGCTGCCACCAATGAATGGCGCAGGGGAACCCAAACTATGACTACACAGCCACGCCTTCTACGTCACTTCTAGCAAAGGTTCATGTAAAGGCTGGGGTTCATTTGGGGGACATGTTGGCAAAAGTACATGGCAGAGCAATGGCGTAACACCAGAGCGTGGTGGCAACTACTGTTAAACCGGCATTTAAAATACTGGCTCACCAAAATAAGTGCTGACGCGAAATATGTTCCATCTTCAGCCTAGTATATTTGGAACAGTCGTTGAATATTCGATTATTTTTTAATCTTTTGAATAAAAAATATTAAGTTATTTCGCGGATGAAGTTCTATTTAAGATACAATAATGTAAGCACCAATTAGAATCGATGAGGTGACATAAAAAAATCTATGTCAATAAAATCCCTCACGTGAAGTTATTCGACTCCGTTACAGCGGTGTCTGGTTGTTTCGGAATCGAATAACGGTATAAATATTGTTGAATACACATTACGTAACAATTAAATTTCAGAAATAAATAATTGAGGTGGTGTGATATAAAATCGGTTCAAGTTGCTGCTTCACTGTCAGTACGTCTGACACAGTATTTAAAACATCAAATTCACATACTATATCAGTGTGACCAAATACCTTCTGGGTCATGGAGTGTGGTTCCGGGAACCTGGTGTCAGCTGGCTGATTTCCTGATTCCATCAGTGGTTATCAGCAATTTCAGTATATTTATTGTACGGACTTGGGAG